CACATCTGACTAGCTTTAAATGCAGAGATTTGCTTCCATAATATCAGTTTGATGTTTTATTTCATGCACGGACTATAGAAGCTTATTTGTGTCTTTAATTTTAGATTACTTCCAAATAGAATAATCAATGCTGGGACATATCATAATGTCTCAATCTTTATTTGTATTGTAAGTTTCCCCAAATTTTTACTTTATTGTTTTTGTCTTGTTTTAAATGCAAGTTAATGGCTTGAATTTTGCCTTGATGAATTAACTAGAATCCTTGTATTAATAGACTATTCTAATTTCCAATCCCTAAAAAAATTCCCTTAAGTTGAACCAAGTTTAATCATCTAAGATAACAATAGAAATTTTATTTGATTAATTGAGTTAGGGATTGTAGGTAATATAAAAACTTATTATTTGTATTCTTAGATTCTATTTGTGGGTTTACTTTGTTTGAATTATTCTGACTTATTATACTTGAGCCTTCTAACCCAACCATTCTTTTTCACTTTGTGAAAATCTTTCAAGTGATCTTTTTTATAAAAGCACTGTTCCTGGAGTAAAAGTTTTCACCTCCTACAATCTCAGCTTTGTACTAGCTTTGCCTTCAATATACTGTGGGTAACCCTCTGCTCATGGCATTTAAGGACCATAATGAAGGGGACATCGTTTCACAACTTCCATAAAAGTCTTAGATTATTTAGAGACAACATTCAGATTCGCAATTTAAGTAATCTTTTGACATGATTGACTTTAATGCCGGAAGTAGCAGGTCAACGCCTATCATAATAAAGATGAATGCAGACTTTCGTTAAGTCAAACATTAATTAACCAGGATATTGCTAGCATTAATTGTATCACCAGAAAATATTCATTCATACGAAGTTAGTTTAAGTTCTTCAAATATTTATTAATATTGTCTTTCTGGCATCAATTGTATGGTGGCTGCTAGTAATTGTTAAGCTTATGAAATGTCATAATATACCAATAAATTAATGGTTGCTTCATATATAACCATTTGCAAATTGTATTATATAAAACTGTTATTATTCAAAAGTTTCTCTTAATCAAAGATTATAACAATCTTATTTGTGCACTTCTCTTGTTGAGTTGGTAAGTTGTGTCATCACGATATTAGGTTTGTCATATGCAAAGCAATTCAAGATGTGTTCATGCTTAGTGTTGAAAAAAGAAAATTGTTTGAACATTTTACAAGTTAAGCGCTACTTCAGGATACTTCAGCAATACAGATGAGGTGAAGGTCTGCGTAGTGGACATTCAAATGGAGCTACAGTAGTAAAAGGGAATAGTTATTGGACTAGAGTCAAAGTCATCATCAGAAGGTCTTTAGAATTGAAATATTTTATGAATTGTATCAAAGGATATTTCCATGAGATCACCTCTAATTCTGGCGATGAACAATATACATGAGCTTAATTAGTAAGGAAATATGTAGCAGCACAGGACTGTCATGCTAGTACTAGAATTAGTCTGACAAAGTCTCTTCTTTGGTTCATCCCATAAATAGCAAATGCATCATTTTTAGAGTGC